CGTGTCTCTTCACCGTCTCACTGCTCGTCGTCCTCTGCACCATCTCGATATTCTGTCTGGTCGCCGTCTCCGTCGATCGTTATTGGGCCATCCTACATCCGATGGGGTACTCGAGGAACGTTCGCACCAAAACGGCATTGGGTGAGCAAATAACGATAGATAGGATGCATATGAAAGCTGAATGTTTGGGGAATCTAGCAAGTATCGATATATTACTGTGGTTTTATCCTTACGGCTGTAATTCACGTTCAAAGTTTGAAAAACATGAAAAAAGTAGTGTTTTCACATTTCATTGATTTTCTCGAAAACTATAATACATAGAATGAATCCAAAATATGCATATGAAAGCTGAATGTTTAGGGAATCTAACATGTATTGATATATTACTGTGGTTTTATCCTTACGGCTGTAATTCACGTTCAAAGTTTGAAAATATTAAAAAAAGCAGTGTTTTCACATTTCATTGATTTTCTCTAAAACTATTATAGATAGAATGAATCCAAAAGATGCATATGAAAGCTGAATGTTTGGGGAATCTAGCAAGTATTGATATATTACTATGGTTTTATCCATTTGCCTGTAATAGAAAGAAGAAAAATCAATATATTATTGGATGCATGCAAATAATTACATTTCCCAAAGATTTAATTAACTAATCCATTAATCGAACTCGCGTACATCACACGATTCCGTGCTCGCATCGCATCCGATCAGTAATTACCGCTTCTAATTCATTTCCGATACTCTCTTGTTTTGTTTTTTTTTATTTTTTGTTTTGTGTTTCGTTTCGATTATGTAAAAATTTTGTTAATTAATTATTCATAATTGTACGCTACGTTCTCTATCAGCGGTTTTCAGCTAATTGTGCACCCTTAATCACTTAACTCATCATCTAAATCGCGTCGAGGACGTTGTAAACGTTAAATTTTGATGGATCCAGCAAACGTCGCGCACTTCAACTGTTACTTTTGTTTTCCGCTCCGCATAATGGATTACTTCAATTTGCAAAGCGCTCTCGATTAAAATAATAAATGATTTACGATCGATAACAAAAGAAGAAAAAAAAACAATCATCTTTTAGGTTAGGTTATGAAATAATTTCATCAATTCACTCGATCCACTTTATATTCGCCAATTGAATAGAAGAAGAAAGAAAACAAAAACAAATTACATAAAAGTCATAATCAATAATATCCGTAGATCGGAAGCGCATATAAACAAGAAGGCCGTGCTGAATAATGCATCGAAATCGTTACGGCTTTGGCGAAATGTAATTGTTTTTTTTTTCTTTCTTTCTCATTCTCCCTTGAAAATTTGCATTTTACGCAGCGAAGAAAAAACCAAATGCAAATCCACAAATAAACCAGTTCACGAAGATTAAAGTAGTTTGTTAGAAATTCACTAAATATTACGCAATTGCAACTAAGTACGCACATTGTTGATTAGAATCTTAGCTTCAAAATCTAATTATTCTAATAGTTGTCTAGAAAAATGAAAATAAAAATTTCAACTTTGACAACTAATTACTCGAAATGCGTGCAAGCCACAAACGTAATTTCATGCACACTTTATTCCTTATAGTTTTAGCTTTAATTTGAATGTTTTATGTTAACTGTACTTGATTTATTTACCGAGTAATGAATGAAATAGTAAGTGTGTGTTATATAAACAAAAATGTAATTAAATCGAGCGTCGTCCGAAACATAGTTTTCGGTCGAGTAGGCTAAATACGTCGCGACGCATTCCGATCAATTGGTTCGGAAATCCGAAGGACGACGATGTCCATTGTGCTTCGATTTAGCCACACGAGATTGCACACTCTCGTTTATTTATTTATTTATTTTTTTCGGAGGTGGACACTAAATTATGCAAATGATATTGGACTAAAGCACCTAAATTAGATTTGCTGCTATATTATACAACAATTGAGCTAGAATTGCGAGCATTCATCTGAAGACGACACGTTTCGATCGCGCCATCTTCATTCACTTATTACCAATTGAGTAACAACCACATCCATTGACAGAATTTCCGGTAGGTGTACCAACACAAAATTTAGTAATAATTTTAATGTTGGTGGTTATGACGTCCGGTGAGGGAGTTGTCAGTGAAGTGAAATTGATTGCTTCAGTGAAGAAATCATTAACGAAAACGTCGAGAATGAGATTTGAATTTTATTGAATGATTTCGGTGAGTAAACATTCTGATTAGTTTCATTGCGAATTGATATAATTAAATGTTTAAAAAAATCAGCTGTTTTTGACATAAGTACCAACTTAAATTATTTATGTCACTACTGTTGCAAGTAATTTCGTACGCTAAAACTTTTCTACTCGTAAAGTCGTCATCTGTTAGAAACTAGAACAGTTGGAAACTAAAGATTGTGTTTTGTATCTATTTATATATATATATTGGAGAGAGCGATTGGTTTCTCACGTCACGTCTTTGTTGCGGAAACGACGCGTTCGAAGGAGGGTGGACAAATTAAATAATTGCCTGCGGCTCTAAGTCTACGCCTTCTCTTCTTTTACTGCTTTTTTTTTTCATTCGTTTTAATTAATATTTCTCATAGGAGTATTAGTGTCGACAAATATTGGTTCTGAACCGTGCAAAATTTTCCGATAATTAAAAACTAACAGATGTAAGAATTACTTGAAATACCGGTTTTTCTTTCGATTTATAATTTTCATAGTTGAATAAGGTTCCTGAGAACAATTGAAGTAAAAATAAAGTTTATCAAACACTTCCATTGTTTTCAGGACTCACTTAGATTTGTTAGAGAACAATTGAAATAGGGATGTTTATCAAACTTCAATTGTTTTCAGGACTTACTTCGTTCGCCCATCAAGAACAAATATAACCGAAATATACTTACTGAAAAGAAATTTTCATGTTTTTACAAAATTTTAACATTTGATAATATCTTTCGAATTATCTTATTTGTTTTGTCTTTCTTGATGGGCGAACGAACTGAGTCCTGAAAACAATTGAAGTTTGAAGTAACATTCTCACTTCCATTGTTTTCAGGACTCACTTAGATTTGTTGAGAACAATTGAAGTGGGGATGTTTATCAAACTTCTATTGTTTTCAGGACTCACTTAGATTTGTTAGAGAACAACTGAAGTGAGAATGTTACTTCAAACTTCAATTGTTTTCAGGACTCACTTCGTTCGCCCATCAATAACAAATAAAATCGAAATATACTTACTGAAAAGGAATTTTCTTGTTTTTACAAATGTTAACATTCGATAATATCTTTCGAATTATCTTATTTGTTTTGTCTTTCTTGATGGGCGAACGAAGTGAGCCTTGAAAACAATTGAAGTAAAAATAAAGTTTATCAAACACTTCCATTGTTTTTAGGACTCACTTAGATTTGTTTTAGAACAATTGAAGTGAGAATGTTTATCAAACCTCAATTGTTTTCAGGACTCACTTAGATTTGTTAGAGAATAACTGAAGTGAGAATGTTTATCAAACTTCAATTCTTTTCAGGACTCACTTTGTTCGCCCATCAAGAGCGAATAAAATTCAAATATACTTACTGAAAAGGAATTTTCATGGTTTTACAAATTTTAACATTCGATAATATCTTGCAAATTATCTTATTTGTTTTGTCTTTCTTGATGGGCGAACGAAGTGAGTCCTAAAAACAGTTGAATTTTGAAGTAACATTCTCACTTCAGTTGTTTTCAGGACTTGCTTCGTTCGCCCATCAAGAACAAATAAAATCGAAATATACTTACTGAAAAGGAATTTTCATGGTTTTACAAATGTTAACAGTAGATAATATCTTTCGAATTATCTTATTTGTTTTGTCTTTGAAGTAAAGATAAAGTTTATCAAACACTTAACATTCGATAATATCTTGAAATTTATCTTATTTGTTTTGTCTTTCTTGATGGGCGAACGAAGTGAGTCCTGAAAGCAATTGAAGTTTGAAGTAACATTTTCACTTCTATTGTTTTCAGGACCAACTTGATAGTTATATTATATTCAATGTATTTATACTTGTGAGTCTTGAAAAACGAATATTTCATTAACTAAATCTATTAGTATTAGTTCACATACGCCCTTTATTAGATTGGATCGATTCGATCTCAAATTTAATCTTCATCGAAACCCCCGTAATCAACATTCTCCTCATCGTCCTCTTCATCGACGGTCGCCTCCTGGTACTGCTGATACTCGGATATGAGATCGTTCAGATTCGCTTCCGCCTCGGAGAACTCAAACTCGTCCATCCCTTCGCTCGTGTACCAATGTATGAACGCCTTCCGTCTGAACATCGCGCTGAACTGCATCGCCGTCCTCTTGAACAACTCCTGAATGCAAGTGCTGTTCCCTATGAACGTGGCGCACATCTTCAAACCGCGCGGCGGGATATCGCACACCGCCGTTTTGATATTATTGGGAATCCATTCGACGAAGTAAGCGCTGTTTTTATCCTGCACATTGCACATCTGCTCGTCCACTTCTTTCGTCGACATCCTACCTCTGAATATAGAAGCGACAGTCAGGTATTTCCCTCGGCGAGGATCGCAAGCGCACATCAACGTTTTAGCGTCGAAGAGCTGCTGCACGAGCTCCGGCACAGTCAACGCTCTGTACGGTTGACTTCCGCGTGATGTTAACGGCGCGAATCCGGGCATGAAGAAGTGTAACCTAGGGAACGGCACCATGTTCACCATGATCTTTCTGAGATCGGCGTTCAGTTGCCCCGGGAAACGCATGCAGGTGGTGACTCCCGACATGACGGAGCATATCAGATGGTTGAGATCAGCATAAGAGGGTGCGCCCAGTTTCAGCGTCCGATTGCAGATGTCGTACAGAGCCTCGTTGTCTATGATATAAGTCTCATCCGTGTTCTCCACCAGGTGATGGATCGTCATCGTCGCGTTGTACGGCTCGACGACGGTGTCGGAAACCTTCGGACTCGGCAGCACCGAAAAAGTGCTTATGATCCTATCCGGGTACTCCTCACGGATCTTCGCCAAAATCAAGGCGCCCATGCCGGCGCCGGTGCCGCCACCTATCGAGTGCACCACCTGAAATCCCTGCAAACAATCGCATCCCTCCGCTTCAATCCTCACCGTATCCAGAAGAACATCGCACAGCTCCGCTCCCTCAGTGTAATGCCCTTTCGCCCAATTGTTCCCAGCTCCAGCTCTTCCGAAGATGAATCCATCCGGTCTGAACAGCTGTCCGAACGCCGAAGACCTCACCTGATCCATCGTCGAAGGTTCCAGATCGACCAAAACCGCTCTCGGCACGTACCTTCCCGATCTCGCCTCATTGAAGTACACGTTGATTCTCTGCAGTTGAAGATCCGAGTTACCTCTGTACATGCCGCGTGGGTCGATCCCATGTTCATCGCAAAGCACCTCCCAAAACTACAAATTATTTTTATACAATCACACCTTTTTCCTATACAATCGTTGAACTCACCTTCGACCCGATGCTGTTGCCGCACGATCCAATCTGTATGTGCACTATTTCACGCATGATTTTGTACCTCCGAATAACACTGAAAATTTTGCAAACTGACAAACGTCAAACTAACGACATTTGTTTAACCACAGCCTTCGCAATTTATAAACAGCATTTGTTTATTGCATTGAACCAATAGAAGAAATCAAAACTACCCTAACTCAATATTTTACTAAATCTATAAATTAATTAAGAATTAAATAATAGTAAATTAAATCTAAATGAAAACGACCTCCGAATAACACTGAAAATTTTGCGAAATGACAAACGTCAAATTAACGACATTTGTTTAACCACAGCCTTCGCAATTTATAAACGCATTTGTTTATTGCATTGAACCAATCGAAGAAAACGAAACTACCCTAACTCAATATTTTACTAAATCTATAAATTAATTAAGAATTAATTAATTAGCGTTAATAGTAAATTAAATCTAAATGAAAACGACCTCCGAATAACACTGAAAATTTTGCGAAATGACAAACGTCAAACTAACGACATTTGTTTAATCACAGCTTTCGCAATTTATAAACGCATTTGTTTATTGCATTGAACCAATACAAGAAAACGAAACTACCCTAACTCAATATTTTACTAAATCTATAAATTAATTAAGAATTAAATAATTAGCGTTAATAGTAAATTA